AAGGTAGGATTGTATTGCTACAAACTTCCCTCTTAGAACTGCTTTTGCTGCATCCCATAGGTTTTGGGTCATTGTGATTTCATTGTCATTTTTTTCTAGGTATTTTTTGATTTCCTCTTTGATCTCTTCAATGATCTCTTGGTTATTAAGTAGTGTATTGTTTAGCCTCCATGTGTTTGTATTTTTTACAGATTTTTTTCCTGTAATTGATATGTAGTCTCATAGTGTTGTTGGAAAAGATACTTGACACGATTTCAATTTTCTTAAATTTACCAAGGCTTGATTTGTGACCCAAGATATGATCTATCCTGGAGAATGTTCCATGAGCACTTGAGAAGAAAGTGTATTCTATTGTTTTTGGATGGAATATCCTATAAATATCAATTAAGTCCATCTTGTTTAATGTATCATTTAAAGCTTGTGTTTCCTTATTTATTTTCATTTTGCATGATCTGTCCATTGGTGAAAGTGGGTTGTTAAATTCTCCTACTATGATTGTGTCCCCTTTCATGGCTGTTAGTATTTGCCTTCTGTATTGAGGTGCTACTATGCTGGGTGCATAAATATTTACAATTGTTATATCTTCTTCTTGGACAGTTCCCTTGATCATTATGTAGTGTCCTTCTTTTTCTCTTGTAATAGTCTTTGTTTTAAAGTCTATTTTGTCTGATATGAGAATTGCTACTCCAGCTTTCTTTTGATTTCCATTTGCATGGAATATCTTATTCCATCCCTTCACTTTCCATCTGTATGTGTCCCTAGGTCTGAAGTGGGTCTTTTGCAGACAGCATATACACGGGTCTTGTTTTTGTATCCATTCAGCCAGTCTATGTCTTTTGGTTGGAGCATTTAATCCATTTACATTTAAGGTAATTATCTATATGTATGTTCCTATCTGCTATTGATCCCTTCTAGAGAATTTCAGTTTCATTTATGGTGTTGTTCATCACTGTTTGTTTGCTCTTTAGTTCTAGGTCCTTGTTAAACGTTTCTTGTATTTTTTCCATTCTATTTCCAAGATTTTGGATCATCTTTACTATCATTATTCTGAATTGTTTTTCAAGCAGACTGCCTATTTCCTCTTCATTTGCTAGGTCTGGTGGGTTTTTACCTTACTCCTTCATCTGCTGTGTGTTCTCTGTCTTCTCATTTTGCTTAACGAACTTTGTTTGGGGTCTCCATTTCGCTGGCGGCCAGTTCGTAGTTTCCATTGTTTTTGGTGTCTGTCCCCAGTGGCTAAGGTTAGTTCAGTGGGTTATGTAAGCTTCCTGGTGGAGGGGAACTAGTGCCTGTGTTCTGGTGGATGAGGCTGAATCTTGTCTTTCTTGTGGGCAGGTCCACGTCTGGTGGTTTGTTTTGGGGTGTCTGTGGCCTTATTATGATTTTAGGCAGCCTCTCTGCTAGTGGGTGGGGTTGTGTTCCTGTCTTGCTAGTTGTTTGGCATAGGGTGTCCAGCACTGTAGCTTGCTGGTCGTTGAGTGGAGCTGGGTCTTAGTGTTGAGATGGAGATCTCTGGGAGAGTTTCGCCGTTTGATATTATGTGGAGCTGGGAGATCTCTGGTGGACCAATGTCCTGAACTTGGCTCTCCCACCTCAGAGGCACAGCCCTGACACCTGGCTAGAGCACCAAGAACCTGTCATCCACATGGCTCAGAATAAAAGAGAGAAAAAAGAAAGAAAAAATAAAATAATATAAAGTTATTAAAATAAAAAATAATTATTAAAAATAATTTAAGTAATAAAAAAAGAAAGAAAGAAGAGGGCCACCAAACCAAAAAACAAATCCACCAGTGAAAACAAGTGCTAGAAACTATATTATAAAAAAAAAAAAGACAGACAGAACCCTAGGACATATGGTAAAAGTAAAGCTATACAGACAAAATCACACACAGAAGCATACACATACACACTCACAAAAAGAGAAAGAGGGGGAAAAATATATATCATTGCTCCCAAAGTCCACCTCCTCAATTTGGGATGATTCATTGTCTATTCAGGTATTCCACAGATGCAGGGTACATCAAGTTGACTGTGGAGATTTAATCCGCTGCCCCTGAGGCTGCTGGGAGAGATTTCCCTTCCTCTTTGTTCTCACAGCTCCTGGGCTCAGCTTTGGATTTGGCCCCGCCTCTGCGTGTAGGTCGCCCGAGAGCGTCTGTGCTTCGTTCAGACAGGATGGGGTTAAAGAAGCCGCTGATTCGGGGGATCTGGCTCACTCAGGCCGGGGGAGGGAGGGGCACAGAGTGCGGGGCTAGCCTGTGGCAGCAGAGGCCAGCATGACGTTGCACCAGCCTGAGGCTCGCCGTGCATTCTCCCGGGGGAGTTGTCCCTGGATCCCGGGACCCTGGCAGTGGCGGGCCGCACAGGCTCCCCAGAAGGGAGGTGTGGAAAGTGACCTGTGCTCGCACACAGGCTTCTTGGTGGTGGCAGCAGCAGCCTTAGCGTCTCCTGCCCGTCTCTGTGGTCCGTGCTGGTAGCCGCGGCTCGCACCCGTCTCTGGAGCTCCTTTAAGCACCACTCTGAATTCCCTTTCCTCGTGCACCAGGAAACAAAGAGGGAAGAAAAAGTCTCTTGCCTCTTCGGCAGCTCCAGACTTTTCCCCGGACTCCCTCCCGGCTAGCCGTGGTACACTAACTGCAGGCTTTGTTCACGCTGCCAATCCCAGTCCTCTCCCTGCGCTCCTACGAAGCCCGAGCCTCAGCTCCCAGCCCCGCCTGCCCCGTTAGGTGAGCAGACAAGCCTCTTGGGCTGGTGAGTGCCGGTCGGCACCGATCCTCTGTGCGGGAATCTCCCCGCTTTGCCCTCCGCACCCCTGTTGCTGTGCTCTCCTCCACGGCTCCGCAGCTTCCCCCTCCGCCACCCGCAGTCTCCGCCCGCGAAGGGGCTTCTAGTGTGTGGAAACCTTTCCTCCTTCACGGCTCCCTCCCACTGGTGCAGGTTCCGTCCCTATTCTTTTTTTTTTTTTTTTTGCAATACACGGGCCTCTCACTGCTGTGGCCTCTCCCGTTGCGGAGCACAGGCTCCAGACGCGCAGGCTCAGTGGCCATGGTTCATGGGCCCAGCCGCTCTGCGGCACGTGGGATCTTCCCGGACCGGGGCATGAACCCATTTCCCCTGCATCGGCAGGCGGACCCAACCACTGCACTACCACCGAAGCCCCTCCTTGGAGCTTTTTAATCGGCACAAGAAGATTCTGTTTTCTAGGAAGGTTGCTGATCACCTGGCAGACCTATAGAAATGGGTCCTCTTGGGGTGGAGCTCAGGTGGTGATGTCTTAAATGAGCTCTCCAGGCACTTCCTTGTGTCATTGGGATTGGGGACCATTGACAAGAGGGGGCACATTACACCCAGGAAGTGAGGCACTCCTTGGGTTGTTTTAATGAAAGAAAGAGTAAGACAGTGCCACCGGCAGGGGTTGGTAGAAGGACCCAGTGGAGGCTCCAGTAAGTGACAGGACAATCATCAAAGGAGTCTGGGGACACCAAGGAGGACATTTAGGCTTGGGCACCAAAATAAAGAAGAAGGAAATTCAAAACCAGACAATACTACTTTTTAAAAATTGAATTATAGTTGATTCACAATGCTGTGTTAGTTTCTGGTGTACAGCAGAGTGATTCAGTTATACATATACACACATGTTCTTTTTCATACTCTTTCCCATTACGGTTTATTACAGGGTACTGTATATATCCGTAGTTCGCTGTACTTTACAGCAGGTCCTTGTTGTTTATCTCTTTTATTTATAGTCATGTGCTTTAGCGTCTTGCCTGTGCCATCTGGCCACAATGGGTAGCCTTGCTTTGTTGGCCAACGTGGCAGGACTATTTTTCTCCAGCAACCCTGTCCCTGCTGTGGGCCATCATAAACCCATGCCAGTCCGCGAGCAAGGCATTCTGACTCACCCTCCCCTGGGCCCACCTCGTAAGGGCCCTGTCCCAACCATCCTGGCTTCATTTCTTGAGGATGGAGTCCGAGCAGGGCCCAACCCATCTGCAATGATACTACACTAACGCAGTGCGGCCTCAGTGCACAGTAGTGTGAGCTCTCTTCTCCGTGTCAACCTTGCTTTTCCCTTTTAGTCTGATGAACACCTGGCTTCCTGGCCTCTGGTTCCCTGACAAACCAGATTACAGCCCAAGTCATAGCCCCGACCACAGCAACATGGGCAAGACAAGCCCGGGATTGCCAGAGGAGGGTCCGGCAAACCTCAATTCTGCTTCCACGGCTCCATGACAAAGCCCCCAGGGAAGGCCACCCAGGCCTGCGACTGTCCAGCCCCGATGGCTCGCACACGTTCCAGGGTCCTGAAAACCCTCCTTCTCCTCCCATCTCAAGACGACAGCAGTAGCCATGTACCTAACATCTTCCACAAGCTCCTTGCCCAACATTTTACATCCATTGTTGTTCATCTTGATCACAACGCTGCAATATATGTATTATTTTATAGCTCAGGAAAGTGGGTTTCATAAAAATTCAGAGTGCCTTATCCCAAACCAGACAGCCAATAAATGTGTTTTTGGTGTTCCAGTATTCCAAAAAGCCATGGTAGTTTTAAGAACTGAGATAGGAATGCATTGGTTGTTATAAAAATTATTTTGATATTTGAAAAAATATGAGCTTTGAAGCATTTATGGGTTTTGCTCTAGATCAATGACTCAATTATTCAATTTTTAAAAATTATATCCAAAGTCTGAACAGGCATCTGCCTGAGTGAACCAGTTTGAAAATTGTTGCAATAACTCTGCATTGGATTCATCATCTATACCCGATGAAAGCAAAGGGAACAAATATCAAATAACATACTCTCTTAGAAACATCAGCAAAACTATATAGGGCTCCTGTATTAGTGTGCTCGGACCACTATGACAAAATCCACAGACTGGTGGCTTAAACAACAGAAATTTATTTCTCAGAATTCTGGAGGCTGGAAGTCCACCATCAAAGTGTCGGCAGGGTTGGTTTCTCCTGAGGCCTCACTTCTTGGCTCGTTGATAGCCGCCTTCTCACTGCATCTTCACGTGGCCTTTCTCCTGTGCCTGTACATCTCTGGTGTCTCTTCCTCTTCTAATAAGGACACCAGTCCTACTGGATTAGGGTCCCACCCATATGACCTCATTTAACCTTAATTACCTCTTTAAAGACCTTATTCCAAATTCAGTCACATTGGGGGGTAAGGGTTTCAGCATATGAATGTTAAGGGGGACACAATTCAGTCCATAATAGCTCTTTATTGATTAGGGTGCAGCTCATGGAAGGAAAAAAGTTCCAATATATCTCTCATGGCACTTTCCTATTTAATCCAAGAACTCATCTGGATGTCAAGCCCTTCTTCCTTAATCTTTTGGGTATTGCTCAATCACCCCAGCTGGAGGCATCTAACCGCCCTGGGCTCCAGGCCATTGATAGCTCTGCCCTTGTCCTTAACTGTTTCTCTCTGGTCGATTCAACTCCTCTGAACCATGTTCTTAAGCCTTTTCTCTCTGTGTTGAAGGTTCATCAGAGTTTGTTCTCTGCCAGCTGTGGGGTTCAGACTCCAGGGGTCCTTAGGTCTTCAGTGGGTACAGTATTTCTAGATGTTCTTCAACATCCCTTAGCATCTCCCGGCGGGTGCCAACCCATCTCTTCCTGTTTCTGGTTAGGTGGGTAACTAAGTTCCTATTCCTGAACTGAATGACCCATCCTTACCACAGCTATTTCTGGAGTAAAGATGAGGATGAATGGGGAGCCTCAAGGATGCTCATCACTTACTGGCTCAGGTGACCAACCCACCTCTTCCTCGGGTTTCTGTGGTTTCCAAGGTCTCCTTGGTGCAATCTTATGCACAGCCCATTATTTGCTCAGAGAATGGGTGTTCCTAATTTTACATTAAAACTCAGAGTGAGATAGGAAGAGAAACGCAGCATGAGTGGGACTTCTGGGGACCTGACACTGATCCATTTCTCCATTTTGCTGTTCGTTGCACAAGCGTGCTTGGTTTGTGAAAATTCACTGTACACTTATGGTTTATACAGTTTTAGCATGTGACACTTCAATAACAAATTCCCTCCTTCCCCAAAAAACATGACACTGATGACGATTTTGAAAATGGCAAAAAAAAAAAAAAAAATCACCCACAATGCCACCATCCCTACACTCTCTCCATTTTTGTGTATTTCCTCCGGATTCTGTGCATGTGCTTTTCTATTTTTATGCAGACCTTTTTGAATCCTGCTTTTCTCACTTAACATTATGGAATAAACAACTTCCACAACTTAGCTGCTATCATTTCATTGGTTTCATATTTACCCACAGTGTTTGGTACATTAAACATGGGAAATCCATGACACAGTTCTAGAAGGAGGCTATTCTGTAGGCTGCCTGAGGGCGTCTGAGGAGAAAGGCATCTGGGCAGCCCCCTCCCTTATTCCAGCCCATGGGAACGGAATGAAAATCTGAGGGTAATTCTGGGGAAACACAGGTCTTCCCACGAAAAAACGATTTTCGTACAAAGCAGTATTTAGCATCCGATGCACTTGGATCTTAATTTTCTCATCAGTCACTCACTAGCAAACTATCCTGGTGAATAACTTCTCCACTCTGAGACTTGCATTCCCACTCTGTTAAAGGAGAGCCCCTGCCTCACAGGGTTCAGGATTAAACGTGGTAGAGTGTAAAGTGTCTAGCGCATTAGTAGGTGCTCAAATGCCCTCAGAGGAAGCGTTGCGGAGGTGTGGATAATCAGAATTCCCTTCAAACACACTTAACACATGAGCTCTGGATCAGATAGACCCAGATTCTGGTGTCTACTCCCCCCAACTTACTGACTGTTCAGCTCAGCTCTCTCAATTACTAGTTAAGAGAACTTAGGCAAGTCATTTCACCTCTTGGCACCTCAGTTTGGCATAATACCTAATAACAAGGATGTTGTGGGAATTAATGTAATTTATCTGAAGTGCTAGGACATAGTACCTCTTGATAATTGGAAGATATTAAATGGTATTTTGTATATTTAATATGCTCAGGCAGGTTATTGGAAACCAGATCTCAGCTTTGTTCTGACAGTGTGACATTGAGAAAATTACTTAGTTTTCTCACAAGTGAAGTGATAATAATAATAATGATCAGATGTATTATAGGGTATATAATAATAATAATCTTAGGTAATGGATGTTTAAAAAAAACTAACTAAATAGAATATTCCAAATCCTGTTACAGTGCTTGGCATATGGTAAGTTCCAATACATCTTTGTGAGTAAAAAAGGAAAGAAAGGAGACTTGAGAAAATAACTGGCATCCCATCCTCCTGGTGAACAGCAAGGAAGTAACTGTATATACAGGCACTGTGTTCCTTTAGGAGTTAACAATTCAAGGATCCCTTCACTGAACCAGACCATTTGGCTCTCTTTTCTGAGTGTTTATCACCTGCTCTCAAAAGCTCTCAATGTAGGAAGGGCTTTTTGCATCTGACATGTTGACTTTTCAAGTTGTTTTTCATCATTCAAGCTGGAAGTCCTCTCCTAGAGAAAACAGGTGAGGAAGTAAAGTGATTGCCCCACTCCAGCCAGAAACCCTTTCATGGAGATCAAAGAGGAGCCAGCTCAGATATAACAACCTCAGTTCCGTTTTCAGCCCCTCTGAACTCAAACTATCCCCTCCAACACAAGCTGGTGCCAGATTCGTCTTTCTAAGGCCCAGCCCCAAACAAGGCATCTTCCAGCTTAAAAACGGTCAGTACCTTCTTATTGTGGAGCAAAGTGCATAAAAATAGGTCAAACTCAGTATTCAGAATCTTCCACAACCTGGCCTCCATCCACTTCTCTGGTCTTACCTCCTATGAATCTCCAAAGTTACTTTCATGTGCTCACCCAGTTCCATTGATTACCGAGCCTGGATCACTCGCCCATGAGTTCTCATCTCTATGTCTTTGATTACACTGTTTTATCCACTTCATTCAATTCCTTCTGTTAAAATTCTAACCGTTCTTGATTTTTTGATAATGGCCATTCTGACCGGTGTGAGGGGATATACCTCCTCATAGTTTTGATTTGCATTTCTCTAATAATTAGTGATGGGGCACATATATACAATGGTATATTATTCAGCCATAAAAAGAAACGAAATTGAGTTATTTGTAGTGAGGCAGATAGACCTAGAGTCTGTCATACAGAGTGAAATAAGTCAGAAAGAGAAAAACAAATACTGTATGCTAACACATATATATGGAATCTAAAAAAAAAAAAAAAGGTACTGATGGACCTGGTGGCAGGGCAGGAATAAAGACGTAGACGTAAAGAATGGACTTGAGGACAAAGGGAGGGGGAAGGGTAAGCCGGGATGAAGGGAGAAAGAGGCATGGACATATATACACTACCACATGTAAAAATAGATAGCTAGTGGGAAGCAAACGCATAGCACAGGGAGATCAGCTCGGTGCTTTGTGTCCACCTAGAGGGGTGGGATAGGGAGGGTGGGAGGGAGGCTCAAGAGGGAGGGGATATGGGGATATATATATATTCACTTTATTGTACAACAGAAACTAACACAGTATTGTGAAGCAATTATACTCCAATTAAGATGTATTAAAAAGAAAATTCTACCTGTTCTTCAAGAGCTATCTACTCTCAGGTGACTTCACCTACCACTGCTGTGATTTCTCACTCTTAATGGTTCCTTTCATTTGATACTTAACTATAAGGGTTATTTTTGTGTTAATCTTTTCCCACATGTCCACAGCCCTGTTGGATTATAATATCCTTCAGGGCCATGAAGACTCTGCCTGTTCTGATACAGTCATTCCTGGGTATCTGTGGGGATATTGGTTACAGGACACCTCACCACCCCCTACCCCCCAACTCAGATAGCAAGAGATGAAAATGCTCCAGTTCCTTATATAAAAGAGTGTGGTATTTGCAGGGAACCAGTGCACATCCTCTCATATAATTTAAATCATCTCTAGATTACTTACAGTACCTAATACAACGTAAATGCTATGTCAATTGTTGCTGGTGTGTGGCAAATTCAAGTTTTGCTGTTTGGACCTTTCTGGAATTTTTCCCCCTGAGTATTTTCACTCCAAAGTTGGTTGAATCTGAGGATGCAGAACCCACGGGTACGGAGAGCCAACTGTACTTGGCAGTGTAACATTCAAACATTTATTGAAATCAGTTATGCTTGTCTGGATCCGAAGCCATTCTAAAGGATTTTTTAAGTGGTTTGGATTTTTTTAATCCAATTCAAATATTCATTCAGCAGTCATTTCCTGCACACTTATTAGATGACAAGAGCTTTTTTTTTTTTTTTTTTTTACTGCTCTTGGCAAGATTTCAGGATGGCATTAATAAGACAAATGTAGAGACTTGACTAAGTCTAAAGAAGTCAATTGCACAAATTCAGGATGTGGGGAGGCCACAGTCTCTAGGAGTGCACAGAAGGAAGTGGAGCTAGTGGAACATGGTTTCCACCTTGTTGCAGAGGCCGAGAGAGCTCACACCACCTGGGGTGATGCTCACAGACATGGTGACCAGCTCCAAAGACATGATCATGTAATAGCATCAAATCGTTGTGTGTGTGAGAGACAGAATTTGTTCCCCAATGGACCTGACTCCTTTTTCTTTTACTATATTAGGAATATTGAGAGTGACTAGATTTCTCTCTGGCAGGACTCATATTCATCCAGGAAATCTCAGAATTCTCGAACTTTTAAGGGGATCTTCAGAAAAATGAGAATATACCTGGGTTACTTTCTATTAAGTCCTGGATCTGAAAGCTGAATCCTTCTTGCTAAAACCAGATCCACGAAATCCACAAACCAGAGCAAACCATACTGTGAAGACTTCCTGACTTAGCTAGAGAAAGGAGTATACTTGTAGAAGAACAATGTATAATGGGTAGATTTGCCAAAATTACAATGAATTTTGAAAACACTGTATACTAGGAAAACTAAGGAAGGACTTACCTTCATGAAAGAGGGCCTTTCACATAGGTTGGTAGATTCCATCCTCCAAAAGTAAAATCATGTGAGGAATGGGAGTGTGTATTTCTGTGTTAAATGAATATTTTTGTTTTGGTTTGGTTTGGTTTTGGTTTTGGTTTTTTTTGCGGTATGTGGGCCTCTCACTGCTGTGGCCTCTCTCGTTGCGGAG